AGTGGTGGCAGGGTGACAGATGGGGTGACAGGTGGGGTGACATTTGGGGTGGCAGGGTGACAGATGGGGTGACAGGTGGGTTGGCAGGGTGACAGGTGGGGTGGCAGGGTGACAGATGGGGTGACAGGGTGACAGATGAGGTGACAGGTGGGGTGGCGGGGTGACAGATGGGGTGGCAGGGTGACAGATGAGGTGGCAGGGTGACAGATGGGGTGACAGGGTGGCAGTTGGAGTGACATGTGGGGTGGCAGTGTGACAAATGGGGTGACAGATGGGGTGACAGATGGGGTGACATGTGGGGTGACATGTGGGGTGGCAGGGTGACAGGTGGGGTGGCAGGGTGACAAATGGGGTGACAGGTGGGGTGGCAGGGTGACAGGGTGAGGGGGTGGCAGGGTGACAGGTGGGGTGGCAGGGTGACAGGTGGGGTGGCAGGGTGACAGATGGGGTGACAGGTGGGGTGGCAGGGCTACAGACAGGGTGACATGTGGGGTGGCAGGGTGACAAATGGGGTGACAGGTGGGGTGGCAGGGTGACAGGGTGGGGAGGGGGTGGCCAGTGAGGGGGGGTGGCAGGTGACAGGTGGGGGCAGGCGCATGTGGGTGTGGGGGTGGCAGGGCGACAGATGGGTGGCAGGCAACAGATGGAAGTGGACAGGTGGGGTGGCAGGGTGATAAAGCAGGTGGCCGGGTGAGGGGTGGCAGTGTGACAGGTGGGGTGGCAGGGCAGGACAGATGGGGTGACAGGTGGGGTGGTAGGGTGACAGGGTGTGGGGTGGCAGGGGTGACAGGTGGGGTGACAGGGTGTGGGGGGTGGCAGGGTGACAGATGGGGTGGCAGGGTGACAGGGTGACATGTGGGGTGGCAGGGTGACAGGGTGTGGGGGGTGGCAAGGTGACAGATGGGGTGACAGGGTGAGGGGGGTGACAGATGGGGTGGCAGGTACCTTTTTCCCTGGTGGCCCAGTGGTGACAGACTCCCTGGTGGTCCAGTGGGCTCTCCGGTCTGCAGCTCTGCCGGATGCAGAGCTGCAGACCACATGGTGAAAGTCTTGCGATCTCCAGTCAGAGCGTTGCCGTGGTAACCCGCGGCAACGCTCTGATTGGCTGGAGATCGCAAGACACTTCAGTCTGCAGCTCACACCCGGCGGAGCTGCAGACTGAGGCTGGCTCTCCCGGGCAGACTGACAGGAGGGGCCTCGCACCCGGCGGCAGACAGGGTAAGCCGCCGGGCCCCCTCCTGTGTCGGGTCCTCGAGGACCCGACATGTCAGTCTGCCCTATGGCGGTTTAGGCGGTCGCGAGGCCCCACACAGCGCGAGGCCTTAGGTGGCCGCCTAAACCGCCTAATTAGAGAGCCGCCTCTGCGTGCATGCGCGCGCAAACGTGACTGTAACACGTGAGAAGAGGAAGGGGAGGAGTGGAAGCTGATAGCAGGGACAGGCAGAAGCAGAGCAGAGAAGTTGTAAAATAGGAGAAAGAAAACTTATAGGCAGGAGAGAATTGTTGTTGGCTAATAATAATAAGTTGGCCAACTAGCTCAGCCTTATTTTTGTACATTGTCCTAAGGAAGTTAAAAGAAAAGCATAAAAAAAGGAGATAAAGGGGGACGGAGCCAAGCAGCCCAGACGTGTCTAGCCAGAGCTCCCACGTCTGGGGAGGAAAAACTGGGTACAACGCCGGAACACAGCCGCTCACAGCCAAAAGACCACAGTACCTCTACTCAGGAAGGGTTACCGATTCGAACGGTGCAATTCACAAGCCCCTGCATAGCCATCCTGACAAAGTGAGGCTTGCAGCCTAGCTGGGACCAAGCTACAGGTCTCCAAGGCATCAACGGTGATAGGAGCCGCGGCAAGACACTTCCCCCGACCCCCAGGTTAAAACGGGCACCAAGTGATACACACGTGGCGGGGCCCGCCATCACTACCATGCGTGCCCTATTGAAAGGCCAACGAGGCCCCCCTGAAGGCAGACAAACCGGGCCAGCCACGGAGACCCCAACACCCCCCGAGGGCGCAAAAAGCTCCTCACAGACATGCACAGCACAAGCGGCGCACCAACACCCAGAGAGGACGAAAAACAAGGCGACCACAGAGGGGAAAACATCAAGACCACCCACGACTTCACCTAACCCGCTCATTTACTTCAGGGACGGCAGTGAAAACATGCAGGCAATCACCCACAATAATCTCCCACAGGCTACACCCCCGGGACGCATGGAAACAGCTCCCTGGTGCACCACCATCGGACCCCCTGGAACTTGCCTCACGCACAGGCATCGACTAAATAGGTTCACCTGAACTATGCAAACTGCTCCAAGCATGCCATACACAGACACAACGCATATACTTAACCTACACTGAGCTGAACGGCTGCCATAATGTATGCTACAGACTTCCTCTCGTTACTTTTTGTTTAGTCCATGATTAGATTGCCTAAGCTCTTATCTGTTATTTGTAGTCAGACATACAGGCCTAGCAAAAGTATAAATATATGTCACCATGCTGGTAGTTTCCCTAGCCAGGCTGGTATTCATTCAGTTAATCTTGTCAACCTTGTGATGACTGCCAGAATTTCTTGAAACTCTCCTAGACACACATAGCGTGTGTGACAAGTAAATTGTAAGTTTTATGCGTAAACATCATCTCAATAACTAAATTAAAAAAAATGTGCACCCTTGAATACCCTGATGTAAACAATGTTGAAACTTAGCGCGAGGAATGCCGTTATTTTGCTGTTATTTTTCTTTGCACTGCAAAAATAATTTATTTATTTTTTCAAAAGGAGATAAAAAGGAAAAGATCAAAAAAAAGAAAAAAGGGGGATAAAATAAAGGAGGAGAGTACTTGTAGAATAGGAGAATTAAGGAGCAGGGTATTTGTAGAATAGGAGAAAGAAGGAGCAGAGTACCTGTAGAAAGGAGAAAGAAGGAGCAGAGTACTTGTAGAATAAGGGAAAGAAGGAGCAGCGTATTTGTAGTATAGGAGAAAGAAGGAGCAGAGTACTTGTAGAATAAGGGAAAGAAGGAGCAGCGTATTTGTAGTATAGGAGAAAGAAGGAGCAGAGTACTTGTAAAAAGGAGAAAGAAGGAGCAGAGTACTTGTAGATTAGGAGAAAGAAGGAGCAGAGTGCTTGTAAAAAGAAGAAAGAAGGAGCAGAGTATGTGTAGAATAGGAGAAAGAAGGAGCAGAGTATTTGTAGAAAGAAGGAGCAGAGTATTTGTAGAATAGGAGAAAGAAGGAAAATAAAAAGGAAAATGAGAGAATTGTTGTTGGCTAATAATAGTAAGTGGGCTACCTAGCTCAGCCTTCCTACTGGGCATTGCTATAAGGAAGGTAAAAAAAATAGAAAAAAAGGGAAAAAAAGGTGGGGAGGGGAATTGAGGAGGGAGAGGAGAGGAGCTGACGGACAGATGAGAAATCATATTTTTAGCAAACAGAGAAATCGTCTGAATATCACCGAAAGAGGAGACCTTTGTTTGTTCCTTACGAAAATCAAACCAGATATCAAATATTTAGTCTCGCAGCATCAACCTCAAGGATCTCATTAATCACTAGTAAAGTTAATTTCAATTTACTTTATTGTTTTCTCATTAAACTTTATAAAGTTAAAAACATTATAAACAGGCATTAAGTAGAAATAAAAAGATAAATAGATAAATGTACGTACATTTTTTTTTTTTTTTTAAAACACCCTCCTTTCTAAAAAATATTCCGCGCTTGCGCGAAAACTGGTGGGCGGTAAGTACATTTTTCCCTCAAGAAAGATGCATTAGTGGGCGGTAGGTAGAAAAAGGTTGACTACCACTGCTCTAAGGAACAAGCACAAGATATCCCTTTGAGGTTTAATCCCCAAAAATCCAATCTTCGTGAATTGAAAACTAAATTGCAAAATTAAGGCCAAAGCAAAACTGAACTGGGAAAATAGGTGAAGTGAATACAGTTTTCAGATTTGTCCATTTTCGGCTAAAGCTTTTAATTCCCCAGTCAGTTATACAAAATGTCCAGTTTAGTGAATTCAACTCAACTGTTGCAATAAAACAAAAAATCCTGAAATTTATCTTCTGTTGCCTAAATTTTGCAATTTCACAATCCTGACGTACCATCATTTCCAGTCAGAGTGCTGAACATATCACATCTTTACCCAGAGCTTCTAGGCTGCTGCTATTACATTGGCCTAGTTTAATTTATGTTTTTCATGAATGAAATGACTTGCATGAATGAAAGTACTTGCACCGTAGAACTGTACATATTTTGCTAGAGAAAAAAAAGACAGCTGAACTACTCCTGAAAACTTCCACTTGACGAATAATCCTCTAATTTTATATACAACTTTTTTTTATTTGAAACCAGAGGCAGTATTGTTTAAATATTGGACGTTTTGTATATAAGAAAAGTGGAACAATCTTCCAACAAAAAAAGTTATAGAAAAAATACTGTCTGACTGATCACCAGTGCAGGACAAACATGCTTTTGTAACCTTATATGATACAATATTTTTGGCAATTTATAAATAAACCGTTTTATATCTGCCATGTGTTTATTGTGTGGAATTCCATGTCTGCCTCAGTTCTGGCTAACCCACGGTTTTTCAGAGTTTATTCCCTATTTTGTGTCTTCCCTTCCTGACATAATATTTCATGTGACTTTGCAGTCATGACTTTATCTGCAGTTCTGCTGTAGTCCTTTTGGTTGGTCCATAAGTCAGATAATTGCCCAGCTCTTATTTCTGTGTCCAGGCCAAGAGCTGGATTTTACAAGGGATAGAAGGACTTTGAGTCATATTTTCACACAAGGTTTTAAAGGAACACACCTTCTTTGAAGAAGACTTTGCTGCCTCATCAGTTTAGTTCCACTGAGCTAACCAAACCAGGAAGTAACAGGACCAGTTGTCTGACTGACAGCCAGAGAGAGTGTAACAAGTAAATTTTTAAAAAAATACACTTTCTATTAAAATCTGCACTTCTAATAATAAAAAAAAAAATGAAAACACATGCGCTCTTCACACATTAAGCACTTTAACAACCTAAAGTGCTTTAGGTGTTTGGAGTGTCCCTTTAAGCCTCCATTTATCAAAGTGTTTTGAGCCTGTGCTACAACCTGTCATGTTATATTAATTAAATCCATTATCCTATTCTTTTTTTATGTGCTGTTCCACTTTTTTGTAAATAAATATTAAGATTTAGCTAATGACATCACAATCCAGTTTAGTACTGGCACAGTGCATCAGAGGACGAGATGTGGAACAGTTATCAGGAACATTCCATTGGTTTCTGTGCCAACAACTCCATTTTAAGAACTTGGCCCCAACTTTACTCTTTATGCATAACCCTATTTTATTCAGAGTATCCCTTTACTGTAGTCAATGTCAGAAAACGGATGGAAAGACAGAACTTATTACATTGATTGACAGTGAGCAAAAACAGGGGACCTTATTTACAGAATAGAGCTAAATACAGCGCTGTGGAATTCTACATTTTAGACTAAAAAACAAATATTTTTCTAAATATAGGGGATAAGTAAACATTGTAGCGGACCACGGGTAACACGACCGGTTACCTCTGCTGATTCTCCTCCTTCAGCCGATAAGGAATAATTTAAAATACAAAGAGACCCATCTTCCCCCAGTAACTGGACGACACACAGTCCTGGAGGTACAACAACCACTTTATTGGCCACACACGGATTTTATACATACCCCATGCAAGAGGTCCCTAGCGTGGGAAAGGACTCTATTCCCTTTGTCCCCCATGCCTTCTTCCCAGAAGCTTCTGTGCCTGGGAGTCTAGGCGCGGAAACAAGGGACCGTTCCTTTGTGTCCCAGGCACAGAAAGCCTGCCCACGTCAAAAAAGCTGATTTCTTTGTCCCTGCAGGCACTGAGAATCCCGCCCAACTTGCCAGTGCCCCAGCAGTACCCACACCAATCTCGGTGACCCTCACAGCAGTACCTTCCTCGACCGGTCTCCGACCACAAGGTCCCTGTGTGAAATCCTATAAGGGAAGCGTCTCCTTTCAGGACACAAATGCTCCCCCTGGACAGCATTTGTCTATACGAAATGGCGGCCACCCAGGGGAGCATTCATTAATTACTTCCCTTGCAGTTTCACACTTAGGTTGCAAGTGAGAACTCTCTGATTAATTGGTGTGAACGTTCTAATGGGGCACTGGAGAGGTCCTCGTTTGGGAAATGAACGAGTCGAGAAACAATCCATGAATGCTCCCCCTGGCGGGTGTTCGTCTGTACGAATAACGGCCGCCCAGGGGAGCAATCATTAATTGTTTCCCTTGCGGTTTGACACTTATGTTGCGAGGTGTGAATGTTCTAAACTAACATTCTCAATGAGGTATTGGGGTGGTCCCCCGTTCGGGAGGCAAATGAATACCCTTCGTGGAGGGACTCCCGAACAAGGAGCGGGCACAATATATAAAGAGATGGGGCAACACACATAATATCAGAAAGACAATTCACAGACAGGCAGCGGTCTCGCCACAAACATAATATTTATTGAAAATCTTAAAGTGTGTCAGTTTTACAGTTTGAAATGTAATCTAAATTTTGGAAACTATGCTGGAGACTTCACTAAACATCTTTCATCACCTGCATTTACACTGAACAAAATTATAAACGCAAGACTTTTTTGTTTTTGCCCCCATTTTTCATGAGCTGAACTCAAAGATCTAATAATTTTTCTACGTACGCAAAAGGCCTATTTCTCTCAAATATTGTTCACACATCTGTCTAAATCTGTGTGTGAGCACCTCTCTTTTGTGATCCTGAGATAATCCATCGACCTCACAGGTGTGGAAAGTCAAGATGCATGATTATTGGCCACAATAAAAGGCCACTCTAAAATGTGCAGGAAAAAACAAACATGCTATATAGTATCTAAATTTTCCCCGAGTTTAGAAATACCCAATGTTAAAGGACCACTATAGGCACCCAAACCACTACAGCTCAATGAAGTGGTCTGGGAGCCAGGTCCCTCTAGTGTTAACCCTGCAGCTGAAAACATAGCAGTTTCAGAGAAACTACTATATTTCACTGAGGGTTAATCCACCCTCTGGTGGCTGTCTCACTGACAGCCGCTAGAGGCACTTCCGTGCTTCTCACAGTGAAAATCTTGATATCGATATCGAGGCATCGTGTAATACCCTTAGAGCGTCTGGAAGC